TGAAAATACGATGCAAGAAAACACCAATAGCAAGGTTTATAGTTTTCACAGTAAAAGCTAATTTATCCCTTTTAAAATTTGCAGCTGTAATTTTCTTATAAAATTTTGAAATAATAGTGTAATTTTCAACCATTGACCACAATTTGCGTGTTGGTATCTGTATATTTGTCAGCCCATAATTATTATAATATTTTCAATTTCTTAAAATAATTAAAGTAAGCTCCTATCACGTTACAAAGTTTCAATGCTTTATTTAAAGTGACTCTTCTGTTGAACGATGGTCACATAAAATGTCAAATTTTAGCTCCTGAAGATGTTATTTTTTTTACTCATTGTTGATGCACAAATGGAGCAAAGCTACAAAGGGTTAAACAAATCCCACCCCACCTATGATAAAATATAAATCATATTACAGATTTTGCAATTGTCTTCAAAATATAAGTGGGCTTTTTTAAATTCTTTTGTGTTTTGTTTAATTTTTCTTTTATAGGAAGACCGAGTGAAATTGAGGTGCAGATTCAAAGACTAAATTCATAAAAAAAAATGATTGTCTTTGAATTAGAATCATATGCATGACTTTCTTGCGGAAGTAAAAGTAATGTAGTTCATATATTGCAGCTCATCTTCCCATATCAATTCTAATTTCAAGCTTTAGAGGGTCGTTCATTATCAATATTTATTTAGATAAAATATAATAACATTTTCATATGAAATATAAAAAAAGATTATTATTTGATTTTTTTTCTTTTTTCATGTGGCTGGTCTCATCACGTGTCAAATGTTTGGGCTATCCATATTCATACTCATATGATTCATTTTTAATTTTTAGGAAGGTAACAAATATTTTCAATCAACAAAATCGTTTATATTAAGATTCCATTATATACATATCATGTGAAGTTTTAGTTTTCCATTTTTTACAATTTATTGTTCTAGATTATACATCGAAAATGGCACTTCAAATTCCCTACAAGGAGAAATATCCAGTATGAAGTATGAAATTGCATCTTCTTTGCTTCTATTTTTTTTTAACATCATTCGAGCAGTCATCCGGTTCTCCCTTTTGTTCTCCATCAGTTTTTTGGCACACTAATAATGCAAATAACACCCCAATTGGTAGCACATCTCCCTTTGGTGCGGAAACAGGGGGTTCCATTTTTGTATGGTTAATAATTAAGAGAGAAAGATCATGAAATGAGAACTGCTACCAATATGTAGGTTTGCTATAAACATTTATACATTATGTAATATGTATTGTACATTGTTCCATTTTTTATAATCTCATGATTGATAAATACACTCAGTTTTCGCTTCTAGATTTCATGGATTGAATAAAGTAGGTTGTTATTTTGTGCTTTGTTTTGCAGAGTGGAAATCTAATATTGTGAAAAAAAAGTTCTCTCAAAATTGGTTTTCAGCATAGTTTTCGTCTTTTCATTTTGAATATGGCTTGACTGATTCGATTATCAAAAGACGAAAACCATGCTCAAACACGACAACCACACACTACCTATGACTATACGACATACATAACCAAAAACTAAAAGACTAAAAGCCTGGTCGTAACCGAACCCCGCGGAGCGGGGTACCCCATATATATTAAAGTTGTGGAAGAAAAGAATAGTAAAGTTGGCATACTTTGTCCAGGTTTGGTCCTTGGATTTACATATCCGGTCCCTGTACTTTTTTAATTAATTTATTCATGTCCTTTTGTTTGTGTTCCATTCAACTTCCCATTTTTTTGGCAGAATTGGTCCCTGTATTATTGTTGGAAGTTATGAATACTAAATTTGGATGTTTTTTTGGCAACTTTGCTCATTATTCTTTACCCATTTTGACACTTTTGGTCCTTGCAGTCAATATTTTTACACTTTTTTGGAACCTTTTAATATTTAAAGTTTGACCACAAAACTTTAACGGTTTGACAACTTTGATCCATTTTCTAAAAAGTTGCTAATTCCTACCCCTTTAATTCTTTAGCCATTTTCACACTTCTGGTCCTTGCAGTCAAAACTTTTACATTTTTTGTCCGGGGCAAAGCCCGGACTTTTCATCATTGCACTTTCTATGTCTGTCATATTTATCAATTCAGAAACAACATTGAAAGCTTCTGGCCCCCGCGTAGCGGGGGTAACCTTTCTAGTTTGGAACATGAAGGTTATGTATATTCTAACTTGGATAAAGGCATAGAGCTCTGTCATAAATGGTTTAACGTGTGTTAATTTGGAGATTGAATGTTCATTGATAGCTTAAATGTAATCATATCACAAATGGTTATTTGTCTGCTAATTTGAAGACTAAATGCTCTACATATGCTAATTATTATATATATATTAAAGTTGTGGAAGAAAGGAATAGTAAACTTGGGATATTTTGTCCAAGTTTGGTCCCTTGATTTACATATCCGGTCCCTGTACTTCTTTAATTAATTTATTCATGTCCTTTTGTTTGTGTTCCATTCAACTTCCCATTTTTTTGGCAGAATTGGTCCCTGTATTATTGTTGGAAGTTAGGAATACTAAATTTGGATGTTTTTTGGCAACTTTGGTCATTATTCTTTACCCATTTTGATACTTTTGGTCCTTGCAATCAATATTTTTACACTTTTTTGGAACCTTTTAATATTTAAAGTTTGGCCACAAAACTTTAACGGTTTGACAACTTTGATCCCTTTTCTAAAAAGTTGCTAATTCATACCCCTTTAATTCTTTAGCCATTTTCACACTTCTGGTCCTTGCAGTCAAAACTTTTACATTTTTTGTCCGGGGCAAAGCCCGGACTTTTCATCCTTGCACTTTCTATGTCTGTCATATTTATCAATTCGGAAACAACATTGAAAGCTTCTGGCCCCCGCGTAGCGGGGGTAACCTTTCTAGTTAACATAAAAGTGGAGTGAATGGTGTTACATTTGTCATTGCCACTTAGGCTCCATATAAGCTCCACCTAAGCTCCACATAAGGCTCCAATGCATTGAACTCTTATGAGTTCAATGGATTGACACATGTACATTCCACTAATTATAAAACTTTATTTTTTAAACTCTACACTGCATTAAACTCTATACAATTTAATGGATTGCCACATCATTTATCATTTTTTTTACTTATTGTAATTTTTTAGATAATTAATTAGCATGAAATTACAAATTAAAAACTACGGTTAAAAGTAACATTAATTAAAATTTAAAAATTACAAGTTTGAAATAAAAAATAATTTTAATATATATATATATATATATATATATATATATATATATATATATATATTTGTGTGTGTGTGAGGAGAGAGAGTGTAGAGTTCAATGGGGATTGAACTTCCCATTGCATTGAATCCTAGTCATTTTCCCACAATGAGGATTTTGAGTTTAATGAGATTAAACTCACCATTAAACTCTTCATTAAACTCCCATTGGAGATGACCTAAGTTGTATCTTAATTTACCATTTAATTTCAAGGAAAAAAGGAGTGAGGTCATGCCAATGGAGAATAGATGAACAAAAAAGAGAGCGGAAAAAAATGAGTTTAATAGACACCGATAGAATTTCTCTCTTCCGCAATCCAATGATGAGAAGAACTTGTTTTCACAACATGTTGAGCTCCATATGAACCTTGCCCAGGCTTTTGTCATCCACTCCTTGAAGTTTAATTAAGTATCATACAAAGAAAAGCCTGTTGACAAATACAACGGTCGACGTTGTTGCCGATAACCCTTTGTTTGTAGTTATTATATTATGTCAAGTACAATTTTGTCTTTGTCAAGTGAGTTTGGCCCAGTTGATTTAATACATTCTTAACATGTTCTAAATTTTTCCATCTAACCAAATCATAATTTGAGTAATGTTTTGGTTGGTGATCTTGCATTAACTACATTAGGGACCACAAGTAAGATACAGGGGCATAGTTATGTGAGTACAAGGGTTGGCCTTGGCCCACCCTACACATATTTGAAGTCTTATATATACTATATAATTTCGTTAAGTAAAAGTAACAATGTTTTCATATGCCCCACCCCTTGAAATTATTACTACAATGGAAGATTATGTTTATATTTTATATTTGAGTTTCACTATTATGATCCTCTATCTTGAGCTCATACTTATTATTTTTATATTTATATTTGGGTTTTACTGTTGTGCTCCTCTATATTGAGCATATACTTAAATATCTTTCAAATGCTTTGAATCTTATTTATGGAAATGACCTTCTGAGTTTTCTTTTTTATTCGTAAACCATCAAAGTTATAAAAACAATCCCTAATAAATTTGGTTATTAGTTGTTGCTATTAATTAATTATTTGTATTTTTGTATTATTGTATTATATGTATTATTGCACTACATATACATTTATTTTTTTAATAAGAATATAATATTACGTTTGTAATTGGAATTATTTATGATTAATGAATTTCGTTGAGTAATGGGGGCAAAACAAAAAAGATTAGATATCGCTAAACGTTTCAGATTAGGCTCAATTTTGGATGATTTTAATGATGTAAGAGATCACCGTGTGCAACTTAAATGAACAATTTACTTAGAATGCATACATTGTTATATTTTGTTATCATTTGAAGTATTTTGCTACTAATTCATATTTTGTAGATTATTTGGCATACCCTTCAACAAAATCCTGGCTCCGCCACTGGTAAGATATTAATCTATGTTTTTGTTCATCTCATTAAACATATTTAATACAAAAACTGTACTTTTCTTGGATTAAATATGTTTAAAGCTTAATTTAGTGGTTTTCTGCAAATCTCTAAATGAAACACGAAGAGTATTTAATAGTCATTGGTTTATCTCATCGATCTGAAGTTGTGTTTGAAAATGATGTCTTGGAACTATTTGGCTGTTTTTATGTCGTTATTTGAAAAGATTGTGATGTTTCATGTAAGTTTTTGTAGTGAGGTCCAAAATATTGATTTTTCTTGCAAGTGGAGTTTTGTGAGTTTCTGTGTTGGACCAATTATTTATATAAACGTGGCTTCTGGAACCGTGAATTCATTTAAATAAACTTCACATTCATCTGTTTCTTAAAGTTCACATCTTTTTCTTCAGGGACTTTGATAATTCTTTGGAAGTATGCATGTTCGAAGAGGGAAACGATCTGTGGTATATTTCGAGAAAACTTTATTGCTTTTCTTGATTTTATTATTTTATTATTTTTTTGATTTTTATGTTTGAAGGATGCGTCTTTTTGTAGGCATTTTGGCCGTCAATTGTGATGAAAAAATGGTTAAATATTCATCCAAAGAATAATGATTTTAGTGAAGACGAAATGGATACCGAAAGTGAAGATGATGGTATGTTTTGGATCATGAAAAAGCTTTAATTTTTCTAGTGACTTTAATATCCGGACTTAAGAAGATTTCTAGGGCTATATTCATGAGGGTGAGAAGGTCATTTATGTCATATTCACAAAAGAGAGGGTGAGGCGAGCCCTTGTCCTATCTTAGGCTATCCGGTATGCTGCTCCAAACCATGCGTGAGATCCTATGTGGTAGCCCATAAGCCGTATGAACACCGCCCCAAGCACCGGTGAGTCGGCTGTGGAGTGGTTATGAAGATGGACGGAGACGATGCATTTGATTGGTTAGACAATTTCCACAACCTAGTGGATCGGTTGTGGAATGGTAACATACCCCTAAGCCTTAGTAGATGGGAAAAAAGTTCCAGTTTAGATATCATTGAAATCATTCTTAGTACCATTATTTTTAATGCTTCTAAAACGTCGTACAACTTAATATGTCATGTGGCAATCATGTTATAGGTAACAAATCACATTCTGTCCTATGTAACAAAGCTAGGAGACTTACTTTTTAGTTATCATGGTTTGAACGTTTTGCAGGTTCCTCTCATAAACGCGAATATATGGGTTTTAACGAGGAGAATTCGACTAGAATAGAGAGGAACATGTCTACATGCTCGAGTGAAACTTCAAATGGTAATTATGTCGTTTTTTTTGTAAAATAATTTGTTTTAATCATTAAATAAAAATCTAAAGCAAATGTAAAGCAGTAGATGTTATAGATTATAAGATATTCAAATAATGACAAAACAAAAGGCAAAATAATGCTACTTCAGTATTAGAATGCTGGCATTGGTCCATCTGCTCATCTGTCATTAATTCCGTTTCCAATGGGTCGATTGTCCGTACCAACCTCTCGCTAATCCAATACACCTGGAATCCATTGCAAATCCGTTCCTAATTAATCTGGTCCTAATGTGACCAAATTGTTGTTCATCCGTAATTGAATTTTCAAATAAAATTTGTACTTAATAGTTGCTAAGGGCTTTTCTAAGCAGGTTTAATGGTTGTATATTTGTAGTGACACCTGCAAAACCATTGGTAAAACACAAGAGGGGGAAATCAGAGGATCTTCACTGTATTAAAACGAAAGATTTGAGGTTTGGCTATAAATATGATAGATTTGCTTCTCCATCATAATCACAATTCTTGAAAATTTATATTTGTATATATATATTATATTGGAACACCCATACATGCATCATGTCTTGTAGGTTAATGATCGGGACTTGGAATGTTGCGGGAAAGCTTCCCCCTGATGGCCTTGATATCGACGATTGGCTTAGTATGCACCAACCGGCTGACGTATATATTCTCGGGTAAAGTAATGGTATTGTTGTAATTTTGGTTTCGGGTAACTTATGTTTTTAATTAGTGGTAGTTTGTAACGTTGCTGTGAAGTTTTGTAGGTTTTTTTTTTCGTTCTTATGAAATTTATATCTTTTGTTCACACGGTGCTTTTGATTGAAACAACTTATTAAAATATAACCAAGTTTTGGTTTTTTCCAATATTATAAAATTGTTGAAAAGGACAATGCCAATGTAGCCAAATTTCATATTTGTACGTTATATTGTTGTGTCGTTATCGATAATGACAATGTTTAGAATACATTGAATTTTGGATTAGAAAAGTTATCTAATTCACATGATGCATCGGAATTAATATCATTTTTTTATTAGGAGTTCGAAATTTTTTTTATTTTTTTTTATTATTATTTTTTTTTACAAAATACAAACTATTGTGTTACAATTTTCGCAACCAGAATCCCTAACAAAAATTTCGGTTAACAGTTTTCAAGAAGTCGTTCCTTTGAACGCGGGGAATGTGCTTGGAGCCGAGACTCGAGCACCGATTATAAAATGGGAGGCAGTCATTCGAAAATCTCTTAACAAATCACAAGAACTCGAATACATACCTAAAAGCTATAGTGCCCCGACCTCTCCTGTTGCCGAGATCAAAAGCAATGTGGATTTCCTGTCAACCGAAATAACTGATCCCGAAAGGAAAGAGATTACTTCAATGATCGGGCTAACGGGATTCAACGGCCTCGATTGGCCTGAATACACACCAAATAGAAAACATGATATTTGTTTTTCGGGTAACAACTTACGTAGAGTGCTAAGTAGCTCGGATCAAGTTCGTAAAGATTGGTTCACACATGAATGTAAGTGACACTTTGAGTATTAGAGAGCTTTCAACAACGAAATCATTTGAATTGTATTCTTCATTTGAATTACAAAGTATTTGTATCTTTATACTAGTTAAGAGGGAATATATATACTACACTAACTTTTGCTAGCACAACTAACCACAATATTCTTGTTCCTACTTGACAGCTAACAATTTCGGTCCACGAGGTAATGTGGTTGATCTTGGGGGTTTGAGAATGTTGCGTCATAGCTCGTGCGACGTGGGTTTGCTTTGGACGGAGAAACAAGAGAGGGCTGATCTTGTTGATTCTCTCTATAATGTATCCGGACTAGTGATGGAAGAAGATGATTCTCTCATGGACAGAATAGAAGTCGAACAAGGAAATCCACCGACAAAAAGTGGCGGAAAAATTGATAGGTGTGTTTCTCAACCTTGTAGGAAAAAATACTTTGTATTTCCACCGGATTATCGAATTTAGTTGTCCAACTATTTTTGGTAGAGATTGAATTGTTACACATAAATAAGAAAAACATCTTTCTCATTGTCCTATTTTGATATAATTGTAAAAATATATACACCATTATATCGATTTTGCTAATAAACGGTTCTATTTTATCACTTTAACCATAATAACCAAAGTAAAGAAAATAATAGTTTTGTGGCAAAGTCAATAAATGACGGAATGTATTTACCATTTCTCAAAATTGGTTGAGCAATAAAAATGGTCATTTTAGAAACAGTTTAAAGAGTACAATGTTATAATATAGAAAATAGTGATGTGATTAAATTGGTAAAATGGTGAAGGTGTAAGTGCTTTTCCGTATTTCCTATTATTTTGTCCTTTATATGAAAAAAGAAACAATCTCCCTTTTCGGAATATATAAAGCATGATTATCTTAATTAATTTAAACTCTCTTTGATACGCATCAATTTGTAATATGACAGATTAAACTTAATAGTGCTAGACCAAACTAAACCAAAAGTACTTGTTATGTATTAGGTATGTTCGAATCGTGAGTAAGCAGATGGTTGGTATATACCTTTCGATTTGGGTTCGGAGAAGGTTGAGAAGGAATATCAGTAATGTAAAAGTAACGCCCATTGGCATCGGGCTTATGGGCTATATGGGAAATAAGGTAATTTCGTGCATCTTGTTGAATCAACCCATGATTAGAAGTCTTTGTGTGTGCACAATAAATAAAAATGTACTTCAATTAATTTTTTTATTATAACATCCTACTTTCCTTTCCTTCTATTACAACATTCTACTCTAATAAATACATCGAGTAGTAGCAGAAAAATTCAAAATAATTACCACTCCTATAATTAGGTAAAATTTTCAATCTCCTAATTAGAAAATAAATTTGAAAGTACATTCATATGCTTCTTGAATTTTCAACGTATAGTGTCATAATTTGAAAAACTTCAACGTGTACCTCTTAATACATTGTAATTTAGAAAATCTACACAATTATAACAATGTCATTTAAATTTAAAGCTATTTTCATTGCTATTTAGAAAATCTACACAATTATAACACTTTAATGTCTTTATATTAAAATAAGGAAAAATACAATGTTATAAAGGTATATTTTTCAAAATAAAATGTCTTTTTCTAATAGATAACTCACATAGTGTCTTAATAAGAAAAAAAATGAAAGTATAATCAAGGTTCTAAAAGCTCGTCATAGCTTCGTCATGGGTTGAAGGCTTCTATTTGACGTCAAGTTTTAACAAAATACCGCCTTAAGTCGTGTATGTATATAAGAATGAACAATAGTAGAAAATATATATAAAAATATTAATTATATACAAAATTGTCGCCTTAAGTCATGTCTTACAATCGATATGGTTCACCGCAACTCGTAAAAACTTGAGGCTTCACATTGTCGCCGAGTTACGCCTAACTTTATTTAGAACCTTGAGTATAATGTTGTAACGTTGTAATGCCAAGAAGTGAAAGTAATATAGTAATATACTATAACACAAAAATAAATAAGTGTACATTGCTATGCATCTAACCCTTCTTATTGAGAAGAAAGTAATCAAAAGTTTTGGATCCAGGGATCTATTTCCGTTAGCATGTCTCTTTATCAAACACGAATATGTTTCGTTTGTTCTCATTTGAGCTCCGGACACAAGGACGGGGATGATGGGAGGCGCAACTCTGATGTTAATGAGATCTTGAGACGAACTCATTTCTTATCGGTATTAGACCATGATCAACCTAAAACAATTCCATCTCATGAGTAAGGCCATGTTTTTTTTTCTTTCAAGTGTTGTCTAGATAAACAATGGTTTAAGTAATATTTTAGAAAATGATGTAGATTGAAAAAAATAGTGTATATTTGTAAAAAAAAAATAGGACTTAACCGAGAAAGCCTCATTGCTCATACTTTTGATACTAAGTCGTTTTTTCTCCATTAAACAGCCAAATATTCTGGTTTGGCGATTTGAATTATCGCATCAATATGGCAGATGCAGACGTCAGAAAACTCGTTGCCCTGAAGCAGTGGGAGAAACTGTTATACAATGATCAGGTAAATTAATTAGATTCATGATTATAAAGTATAGCATATGGCATTTTTGTTTGTTAAGTGATAAAAAACATGGCGACCTACTGCCTTTGATGTGCATTGCAATGTAACGGGACAAAATATCGAATTTCTATAACATCTAAAAAGATGGAACAAAGACTCACTTTCAGTATTTAATCTGTGCAAAATACATGAAAGCCCTTGTTCTCTTCGTCATCCAAAATAGTTACAGTTTAATGTTAATGATAGCTATGCAAAGAGCTTAGAAGCGGCTGTGTCTTCGAGGGATGGAAGGAAGGTGTTATCAACTTCCCACCCACTTACAAGTATGAAATCAATTCAGATCACTATATAGGTGAAATTCCTAAAGAAGGGGAGAAAAGAAGAACACCAGCATGGTATGTGAACGTTTTAACAGTTTTGAGGTCAACCAAACAACTTTTTTTAATGCTAAATATGTCTCATGCTATGAGAAACTTAAAAATAATAATAAAAAAAATTAGACTATCCTTATGCCATTTTCTATAGCTACAAACTGAAATTATTTGTGTTCAATCATATTTCAAATTTCCTAAGCAAAAGTTGAATTTTAATTGTGGCAAACCCTTCCGTGGATTTCTCAATGTCTAAATGGCTGAAGGTATTAAATTCCATTCGTCCTGTTAATAAAGGAGCCACGTATGTTTTTTTTTATGTTTGTTATGAAATAAAAAATAAATTTTATATAAATTTAAAATAAATATAAAATAAGATTTAAAAAATAAGCTAAATTTTAGTATAAAACTTCACCCTCTTTCTACACAACAACATCTTGCTGGTTGTGATTACATAATATTCCTATTCACATAAAGGTCTGGAAAAATTCAAAATGGATATTATTATCGAGTGAAAAACATAATGAATCTTACTCATAAAATGCAGGTGTGATCGTATTTTATGGAAGGGGAAAGGCATTGAACAACTTCGTTATGATAGTTTGGATTCACAAATGTCCGATCATCGGCCCGTTAGATCAGTTTTTTCAGTTGTGGTTGAAGTATTTGACCCTACAAAGATTCGTCGAGCTCTTGATTTGACTATTCCGTTCATCCAAATATAAATATAATCATGCATGGAGGAGTTAAAATTATCCCAGAAGAGTTAAAATTATCCCAAGGAGGTTTAAATTCTTTTTCATTGATGATATTATTATTGATGTTGGTTTTACAAAAAATTTCATGTGAAGGTGCTTCTACACTTAATTACGAAATGTATTTGTAATAATATAGTAACTCATAACTTTACTCCTTTTATATAAAAATCTTGACATTACAGAAAAAAAATTATATTGGTATATTTTGTTGAAATGGTGAAAGTTTTGAATCTTAAAAGTTACAATACGTGAGTTTCTGATCGCGGGTAAATCGGCTCAATGTGATAATTATGCTTTGATGAAACTTAAGAGTTATAATTGCTAGAAAAATAACCAAACCTCTTTTTTAACAAGTAAATATAGTAGAAAATAAGCTAAACATGAATTCTTGACATTTAAACTCGAAGGACCATGAAATAAGACATTTACATTATTACAAAAAGTCGCCAGATTTCTGTAAATATTGTACCAATTTTGGAACTTAAATTTAACATTAAAGTATTCAACTACTTATGATGTTGTCTTGTTTTGGGCTAAACTATTAAAAATCAGGTGAAAGATTTTGTGGAATTTGTCTTGAATCTACCAAGCTACACTAATTTGTGCTTGAACTTAACTACTTTTGTTTCACATGTTCAATGGAGTCTTCGGAAATAATTGTGAAAGCCCAACTACAAATTAGTATAATTTGCCAACTTTAAGTAGAAATTCATTTTCTATAACTTTCTTAGTAAATGATTACCTTGAGTAGGGTAATCACTTATAGTCCATATAGTTAGACGTTTTATTTAATGTATTTGTATTTTTCTTATATGACCCTTTGTATTTATCCCACATAGCTATAACCCTATTATCTTCTTTATATCATATTTATACTCTTGATGTAGTGCAATGGATGCGATTCGAGAAACACTAATCAACATGGTATCTGTCACACCCCAAAATCGGAACGGCGGAAACGTTCTGGGGTGGAGGACGTCATGTCAAGTATCACAACATATGCAATATAGTAATCAAAGTACAACAACCATTGCATTAATAGTAATAATTTTACATAGGTTACATTTAACAACATCATCAAAAGTAAATACAGAGAATAACATAAGATGCAGCTCGGTACAAGGCTGACTTCGCAAAAGCTCCCGGAGTGTACCTGTCTATCGATGACCTGAGAATACAAGTTATTTTGAAAGCGAGTATCAACATTTTAATGCTGGTGAGTTCATAAGTATTTAATGACATTGGTATAAATACGTGTTTTACTTCAAAATAATCTCATAAAAGATGGTGGTTTAGAAGTTATAGAGTATTAGAATTCCTCTTAGAAAATCCTATATTTTCCAATAAAAGTAGTCTTCTACCAAGACCCTATTGTTTTATGTTTAAGGAGTAATTTCCCCCAAGGTAACTATCTTTATCAAAATATAGTTTTTACTTTAAAGAATATGTGAGCGAATCACAAGCAAAAGTAATGGGGAAAAATAATATTTTTACCTCAACAGTAACACTGCTGGTTAAAAGTAAATAAAACATAAACTCCAGGCGGGACGCCTCGAAAAGTCTAAAAGAATGAAGTACGGACTCCAGACGGTATCGAATGAACAATACGTCTCGCAAAGTCTAAAAGAATGAAATACAGACTCCAGACAGTATCGAATGAGCAATACGTCTCGTAAAGTCTAAAAGAATGAAATACATACTCCAGACGGTATCGAATGAGCAATACGTCTCGCAAAGTCTAAAAGAATGAAATACAGACTCCAGACGGTATCGAATGAGAAATACGTCTCGCAAAGTCTAAAAGAACCTTTAATCCTAAGTAGGTCTGTTTAAAGATTTTAAAATGTGGCCTAGTGTATAACTAGGAAGGTATATATATATAATGAAAATTTTATATATAGAAAATACCATGATGACACTTATTACCTAAGCCATGAATTATAAGGTAACTCTAAAGATACTCGTAACCATACTGATTGACAATCGAATACTTGACGACCTGCTGGGGTCGGAATGAATGTGACATTTGTCACCCCTTGGCTTGGTCAGCCGGGACTGTAGCTAGCAGTCAGGATGTGGGAGTGTCTGTCCCGTATAGATCTATACACACAATGCCCGCTCTCCCTCCAGGAGACTCTGGTTACCGCTCGACAACGGTGAAATCCGCGTCATGAGGATGTATCCCGTGTTTTGAATTCTATAAACCTTTCCTTTTACTAAAAAGTATATGTTTTAGAATATAGATATGACTAAGTTCTCCTTCATGAATGTTATGGTTGGTTTCTAAACTATACCTATTATAGTTTACTTGAGAGGTTATCTAGATGCCTTTGCTACCCAAAGGGAGTGAAATGACTGATGGAACTTTTATGACCATATATGTATACATGATATATAACTAATATTTAAACGACCTTCGGACGGATAACCGATACCCTAAAGCCACATCCAAACAAAGAAAAGGAATTAAAGCGAGCTAGCCTTCCTAAGTCCTTTAAAGATTACTTATATAACTATACATATATAGGCATGCATTTTACAATATAAAAGCATATAAGAAGTTTTGGTAAAACTTTTGAAAAGCTTTAATGATCTAAAAAGGGATTTTCATACTTTAAAAGAGATTTGAAAACAAGATTTGAAAACCTTAAGCTGGATAAAACAATTTAACATGCAAAAATCTATTTGCTATACGGTTATTAATCACATGTGATTGATATAATAACCCTATAGTTCAACTTGTATTCCCCCCCATAAAAGCATTTAAAATCATTTAAAAGGTTGATTAAGGGGTATGAACTCACCTGACGTGGGTGATTCGGATGAACAGATGGTATAGGATGCTATGTGTCAAGTGAGGACTTGTACACACACTCGGATCCTATTTAACATGTAGTGATACATTTAAGTATCTAATTAGTCATTTAATAACTAATTATGCAAGTAAAGACATCCTAATACATGAAAACACTTTGCTACAAGTGCTAGGAGTACTAAGGGTTGTATATAAAGAGAGTATGGCCTCACATTGGAGTTTACTCCTCAAATGGTGGCCCTTAGGGGTGTTTACGGTTTCTGGACCACTTCCCCATGAGTTTACGGCCGTAAACTCATGGAAGTGGTGCCATTGGGTGTTCAAAGGTCCTAAACCACTCAAGGAATTAAGCTAGACTCGAATCAAGGGCTTTGGAAGTGACTAGGGCTCGAAATGACCCTTCTTTGGAGTTTACGGTCCTTGGACCACTCCTTGGGAGTTTACGGTCGTAAACACATGGGTTTACGGCCGTAAACTCATGTTTGTCCATTTCCTTCATGTTTTGGTGTTTCTATCTTATGCATGCAAGGTTCTAGTCACTTATACAAGCATTGGAAGGTGTTAGGGGCACTTAAACACCTTTTGAAGGTGTTTACGGTTTTGGGAGGTCTCCCCAAACCGTAAACACATGTTTTCTTGGGGATCTTGATGTTCTTAAAGGGTTTAACATGTATTCTAAGTGAATAACTTGATAGGAGAAGTGTACTTAGTTATAGGAAGCTCGAAAGAGTGTTTGGAGCCCAAGAACACTAGTGTGTGTTCTTGGTGTTCTTGGTGTTTTGAAGAACACTTGAAGATCTATGAAAAAGACAAGATTTCATGGGTGAAATCGTGTATAAACACTAGATAAAGTGTTATATGAACGAATCTAGGAAGAAAACACTTACATTTTGGCGGATTTGACGGAAATATGATATGATACTTGAGAGAGAAGTCTTGGTGTTCTTGAAGTTGGAAGTGAAAAATGGGAAACGGAGGGTAAACTCATGCTATATGCATGAGTCCATGAAAAAGGGAGTTTACGGCCCAAATACCCCTTGTTTGGCCGTAAACACCTAGTCAAGGTGTTTATTGTTTATTCGTTACACAACACACCTAACGCACACTTCTATTTATTTGCTCTGTAGCACCTGGTTCCTGGTATGTAAATTTATCTAAGTATTTTGCATTTTTAGCCTTGGACTCGGCGAGTTGTAGGCCCGACTCGCCGAGTAGAGCCGGGACATGGAACACGTTTAAGTTGGCGACTCGGCGAGTCCCCGCTGTCTGGTGAAACCCTAATTCCAAGGGTTTGCACCCTATTTAAACCAACCTTATGCGCCCCAAACTCGCCCCCATTCACCCTCAGAGCCCCCTATATCGTTCTAACATCGCTCCTTGTGAAATTTGAAGTGCTTGGTGTGATTTCTTGAAGACTTTGAGAGAGAAAGGAGAGTAGATCAAGAGGAGAGGAAGGAGGCCAGGCATCTTGGTGTTATTTCAGAGATTTCCTTGAGGTATAACTCAGTTTCCCTCTGTTCTCATGCTTATAGTCCCTTAGAGCTCCATTAAAGTCCTTCTTGAGCCATTTCCAAGCTTGGGTATGAACTAGGGTCTGTGATAAGCCGATCAACCTTTAGATCTAGGCATGATTGAGCTCTAGGAGCTCGGATCCACTGCCTTTATGAAGCCATATTGCATGAAAGCCCTAGATCTACTCTTTTAGTGCATTTTGAGCCCTAAAACCTTCATTGGTGTTTATTTACACGTAAAGTTGGAAACTTTACGTGTTAATCAAGCCCTAGGAACCTAGATCTACGTATGGAATGAGCCGGATCCAAGCAAAATCGAGTATATATTAGTGGCATGTGGCCGACTCGGCGAGTCGAGTCGCGAGTCCTCGAGTTTTCCCCTTTTCGTGTTGCTGAGTGGAGTCGTGAGTCATGGGGGGGGGGGGTGACTCAGTGAGTCGGAAGCCAGACTCACTCATGGAGGAACTCGGCGAGTCAATGCCCTGACTCGGCGAGCCTCAAGAACAGACTCGGCGAGTTGTTCATACAACTCGGCGACTAGGATGAAGGACTAGTGGTCATCGGTTTAGAAGGGAACTCGTCGAGTCAATGTCTAACTCGACGAGTAGAGACGAGATTATGGTCAATCGAGTGGATAGGGACTCGGCTAGTTGGCAAGCCAACTCGGCGAGTCGGGTCAACTGGAAGTTGACTTTGATTTTGACTCTTGGTTTAGTTAGGGGTAAATGGTCATTTTACCCTGAGGGCGGTTAGCAGTATTTGACTGAGTGTTTTTGTGGGAATTATAGCCGGAGGATTTCCGGAGCAGCAGCAGCAGAAGTCAGTCAGT